TAAAAAAATATAATAATTAATCCTAAGCTTAGGTTAAAAAAAACTCTAAATTAATAATGATGAAAATATTATATTTTAGTAGTAAAATTTCTAAATAAAGCAATATTTTACAGTGAAATAAATATATTAAATTTATTATAGGAAAAGTGAGTAATTTTTTCTTTTTCGCCTAAATTGCATTAGATTATTATAAATAAAACTATACTTACCTCATGTAACCTGATTGTAGGATGACCCATTTAATAAGTAGAGTGTGATTTTTCGGTCAAAGTCATTTTTCTGTTGGTAATAAAATATTTTTACGAAAGTAACTAATGATAATTTCTTCAATATGGTGTTACATTGTTTTTTTTTTTTTTTTTGACATTGAGAAATTGGGGAAATAGGATAATTACGTGGACGAGAACTCAAAACTTAGATATCCAAGCATTGTCCCTCACAAAGAGGTGACCAGTAGACCACTTAGTACCAAACAGTGTTACATTGTCTTTATGAATAATATAGTATTACATTACTAATTTGAAAATTTTATAATGTTATTTTTTGTAGTCTCAAAAATGGTTTGACTGTTAGATTACATCTTATGATTAATTTGATCATGTTTGCGTGCTGTCACCTATTCCTCCATTGGATCGATGCTCTCTAACAACACCAATTAACTTAATGGGTCAAATGATTCTCTACCAAGTTTAAGAGTTTAAATTTAAGTGATTAGGAGTTTTACTCCCACTAATTACTTATAAATTTATTATTTTTTTCCAAATTTTTAATGTTCAAAAAGACAAAAAAAAAAAAAAATGCAATCTCAAACAATACATTTGGCAAAATTACATAACAACACTATGTCTTGTTAAAGGCAAATTAAATTAGGTAAGATGACTAAATAAAATGATTATATATGTCTCATTCAAATTAAAAATATAATTGAAGTACATGAAAATTTATCTTGTGGATCAATTAAAATATATTAGAAATATTCTTAATAAGGTGTCACCATCATTTGTCTATAGAGGAATTCCTAGAGGAGATTTTTCAAAGAGGAACACATGCACCTTATTACAATTGTGTTTTAAATCTTTTGGAAGACTTTAAACCATAAGCTCTTTTGCTATTCCCCAATTTTTCTCTGATTAAATCAAGTCAAGCTCTTAATAAATTCACAATAATTATGTTCCTAAAAATCATAGGAGAAGATTGTATTAATTTAAGATTAGTGAATATAATCTCGTGCTTGAATGAAACTTTATTTTTTTTAACAAGAGCAAAGTTAGAGCACTGCCCTACCTCTAATCCAAGCAAACCTTGGTGTAGAGCTCTCACAGCGAAATACCTGAAATGTGGATCCTTAATGCACTGCCCTACCTCTCCTATAGCCTCAGCCACATGAAAGAGCATCTTGAAGTGTAGAAATATTTTGCAACTAGGCTTGCGATGGAGAGTGGGTGATGGGCAACAAATCAAATTTTGGCAGGACGTTTGGGTGGGTGATAAGCCTTTGTATGAGGTGGCTCTTTCCCCTACCTTGCCTGGTTTTGTAGACATCCCTGTCTCGTATGCTATCACCCCATCTGGAGACTGGAATGAATCTTGGCTTGGTCATCTACTTCCTGATCATGTAGTGGCTCAGATTTTAGCAACCCCACTCCCAGCTTTTGGACAGCAATCAGACAAAGTATTTTGGTCTGGACTGCCAGATGGTTCTTTCTCTGTTAAGTCGGCTTTTCATCTTTTACAACAGCAGCATGTTAGCTTAACCCAGCAAGGGGAGAACTGGCGATGGATATGGAAGCTAAAGTGCACAGAGAGAATTAAGATGTTTGTTTGGCTCCTTCGAAAAAATAGAGTGCTCACAAACAGTGTACGCTTCGCGAGACACTTTGCTGCATCTCCGGTTTGCCCGAGATGTGAACAGAGCCCAGAGACTCTGCTCCACCTTTTACGTGATTGTTATCACTCCCGTCTGATTTGGGAGTCATTTGCTGCGCTCCCGGCTGACTTTTTCATGCTGAATTTTGAAGAATGGTTAAAGAAGAATGCGCAAGCTCAAATGTCCAGTGGTGCTCCATCCCAACATTGGTCTACTCTTTTTTTATCTACTATTTGGGTGATCTGGAAGAGTAGGAATGCACTCATTTTCAACGATAAAAAGACCCCTCCCCATGTTTTGTTTCAACAAGCTTCCTCCCTAGCAAGAGATACAAACTTGGTGTTGGCCACCAACATTCCCTCATCTCCCCGTGTACCTCGATGGGTACGCTGGTTCCCACCAGATTTCCCTTTTTTCAAACTGAACACAGATGGGGCGATGAATCACGCCACAGGTCAAGCTAGTGCAGGCGGTCTCATTCGGGATCATGGAGGGCGGTGGATACATGGGTTTGCTATTAACATTGGGCCACAATCTAGCTATACGGCGGAGATCTGGGGCTGTCATTCTGGTCTTCGGTTAGCTCTTGAGTTGGGTATTAGTCACTTGGTACTGGAAATGGACTCCCTCCTGGCGGTGCAGTTGATACAGGCAAGGAAAGCCGGCAACGGTCCAGCTTCTGTACTCTTGTTGGATATATTTCATTTAGCAAGTTCCTTCGAGGTTTGCACAATCCAGCACACGTTGCGAGAAGGAAACTCTGCAGCTGACTTTATGGCATCTGTTGGCCATAACCTTAATCGAGGCATCACCTTCTTCCAGACGCCACCTCCGGGCATGCAAAGTATTCTCCACGGAGACAGCATAGGATCATTATTCCTTAGGACTTAGTGTTTGCTTAATTTCTTATGTACCAAAAAAAAAAAAAACAAGAGCAAAGTTAGAGAAAAGCTAGGTTGAAGTCTTATTTGAGACGTAATGACAGCGGCAGGGTGCTTGGGCATGAAGGGAAATTTTTTGGTAAATAAAAAATAGGGAAGATTACTTTATGCATAGCGTTCAAGGTGTGTATAAAAAGTATGAATCAAGTCAAGCCTTAAAAGTGAAAGTATTTGTAGGCTCCAAAAAACTTCAACCGTTGGTTACCCCTTAAAAATTGTCTACGTCTGATCAAAACCCACAGACAAGACATAAAGAAAAATTATATTTATATTGTAAACTTTTTTGGTAAAACCTTATGTTAAGCCCTTAAACTTATCATGAATTCTCAATTAACCTCTTAAACTTTTACTAAAGTAAATAAACCCTTAAACTTGATAATTTAGACAATTAACCCTCTTTATTTACTGTGAACTTAATGCTCATTTGTATTTTGCTTGTATGGATAAAGTATTGATTTGCTATTATTTACATGGTGAGTATTGATTTTGTATATATGAGTAGGATATAAACGAGCATTAAGTTTGTCTTAAAAAAAATGGTTAAATGGCCCCAAACATCAAGTTTAAGAGCTCATTTGCTTCAATAAATATTTAGGAACTTAATTGAAAATTTGTGGTAAGTTTAGGGCTTTAATCAAGAATTTGAGATAAGTTTAGTAAAAGAATTATTGTTTACTTTTCTTAGCAAAACTCAATTATTAAGTCCCTAAACTTACCTCAAATTTTTGATTAAGTTCTTAAATTTTTATTGAAGTAAATTAGCCTCTAAATTTATAATTTCGCCAATTTAACACATCTTATTTATGGTAGACTTGACATTAATTTATGCATTATTTGTGTGAATAAGGTATTAACATATTATTGCCTACATGATAAGTATTGATTTTATTTATACAAGTAAGGTACAAATGAGTGTTAGGTTTGTTGTAAAGAAAAACGTTAAATTACTCATATTGACAAGTTTAAAAGTTTACTTGCTTCAATAAATGTCTAAAAGTTTAATTTAGAATTTATAATAAATTCAAGAGTTTAACATAAGATTTTACCAAGTTTGTTTGGCTTTTATTAGTACTTCTTAACAACTTTTTTTACATTATACTTTATATAAAAACGTAAATTTATGTAATTTTTAATTAATTTTAATTTTTTACATATTTTTACTAATTTTAATTATAAGTTTAAGACTATAAATATCATACTTAGATAGAGTTAATGAACTAACTAATTGAAGGATTAAAAAAATACATTTTTCATAGTTTGAGACTAAAAAAGTATTACAAATAGTTTAAGGACTAAACATATTCAAAATCAAAAGATTAAGGACAAAATTGACATTTAACCTATTTAAAAATTGAAAAAGACAAAAGAAAAGATAACTTATCGTGTGAGGAGTCAAGCGGAGAAAAGTTAAACCTGATGAGAGATTACGTGAGAAAGGTGTTTTATAGAGCGAGTTATAAGTTCAAAATGTAATATGTTTTTTAAATTATTTTTTATAATTTTATTAAAAATATTTTAATAATTTTATAAAAATGTCAATATTTATTTATTTTACCTCTTAAAATAAAAAATATATATCTAAATTTATATTTTAAAAATAAAATATTTTAATTTTTTAATAAATATTTATTAAAATGATATAATTTTAAAATAATATTTCTTTTAATCTTTGAAAAATAAAACAGATAAATATTATTTTTCCTCTTAA